AGCTGAAGTGGACATGACTTTGATCAAACTTACATACCATTTTTATCAGCACAAAAACTTAGATAAGGCTTTCATAACACAGCTAAGTTCATCATGTCCTTCTTTAATGGTGGCCTACTTAGTGTGTCTAAGTATGTCTCTTTAAAATTATGGTTCCATTTATATACGTGTGTGTATGTAGTTCTCTCTATATAAATATAACCTGCTCAGTCTATATAGTCTTACTTGTGTGTTTCCTAGGTGACTACTTGCTATTGGATAATTAATTATGTTCTTCCCACTTAGCATTTCTTAATCACCTGGAGTTCTTCGTCTAGGGTCGAGGGCTTGGGATTTCCTCTGTCCATGTTAGCATGCCTATTGGTATTATTCTTACTCGACTTCTGTTTAGGCGTTCATGTTGGCGAGACTTTATGGCTGTAGCTTCTAACGTTTGGAGGAGTCAGAATCTTACAGGAAACTCCCTGTTCCTTTGGCTCTTACAATCTCTCTGTCCTCTCTTATGGAGTGATTCCTTAGCCTTAGGTTCAAGAATTGTCTAGTAGATGTATCAGTTGGGAATGGGCTCCACAATTCTGTATATTGATGAGTTGTGGTTTTCTGTAATGGTTTCCTTGTTGATAGGTGAGAATAACACTTATAATTAGTACTTAGAATGTAGTTAGGAATTCTGCTGTTTTAGTGAGGTATGGGTTATACTATCCGTAACTTAACTATCGCTGATAGTTAGCCATGACATGCATGCCATTTTTGCTCCCTTAGGAGAAGAGCCTTGCCATGCTGATCACTGTTGCTCCCTCGAGGTCAACATGTTGAGCTGCTCACTGTTGCTTTCTTAGGGCCTCCATGCCATGCTGATCACTGTTGTAGCAGAACACTTTTATTCTTGTTGTTTACCATGATTCAGAACATAAAATAGAATATCTAAGTAAGGGTTGTTATTTTTCTTCATAACAATGATACTGTGGCCATGGATTCACCTATCAACTGTAGAAATGAAGAGAAACACCCACTGTTTCTCTGCCAAGCACCCTGCAGATGTGCTCATCTGCACAGACCTCTACCTAACACCCTGCAGATGTGCCCGTCTGCACAGACCTCTACCAAACACCCTGCAGATGTGCCCGTCTGCACAGACCTCTACCAAACACCCTGCAGATGTGCCCTTCTGCACAGACCTCTACCTAACACCCTGCAGATGTGCCGTCTGCACAGACAACTGACTTTTTTGCATCAGTATCATGCACACACACTCTTGCACTTCATTGCTAAGATGGAGAATGTGAACAGCCTGACGATGTCTCCTTGGCCATGGGTTCACACACTATTTTGTGCACTAGTTGATAAGACCAGGTCTTCTGCTCTTTGTAAGTTCTTGCTATAAGAACACAGTCACTGAAGCAGGGCGGTGATAGCGCATTTCTTTAATCCCAGCACTCGGGAGGCAGAAACAGGTGGATCTAAGTGAGTTTTAGGCCAACCTTGAATACAAGAGCTAGTTCCAGGACAGGCTCCAAAGTTACATCAAAACCCTGTCTTGAAAAACATGAGTTTTAGGCCAACCTTGAATACAAGAGCTAGTTCCAGGACAGGCTCCAAAGTTACATCAAAACCCTGTCTTGAAAAACAAACAAACAAACAAATAAATAAAATTTAAAAAATTCCTGCTTCTAATGCTGTGAATGACTATGTGAATGCCCAATTGTCCTTGTACAAGGAGAGAAAGTGTCTATTTCTGAAGGTTTTTTCCATTAACGATTTTTTGACGTATGCATATATAACTAGATGGAAAATATATTTAGAGGCAGAAAATGGTCTAAAAAGAAAGTTTAATAAAAGCTATGACATAATCTTTAGCAAGTGAAGGGTCAGTATAGCCCACTTTCTTAAGGAAAAAAGTGATTCGTGTTTTTTTCAGTGTAACAGGATTTGTGACAACAACCCATGACCAAAGTCCTAAATATTTCTTGTGAACTCAGAGTTGCATGCTAATAGAAATTTGCAGGCCCAGAGGAGGACGTACATTTATTTCATACCTAAAGGTAGAAGCTTGGAATAGAAGTAGAAAATATTATTTCAAAGAGCAGGTGCTGAAAAGGATGCAGAAGAGACACGATCAGATTATAGATTAAAAACTTCTAAAAGCTAATTAGCACCAAAGGGCAGTGGTAACCATTGTTGACAGCAGTGATCTAAAGGCCAGTGAGAACTGCAAGATTTGATACAGTCAGTTTATATTATATTAATACATTTATTCCTAAAATGGATTTTTAAAAGCAATTTTATTTTGATATACTATTATTGAGTACTTGTATTCACACTTAGAAGAAGTCTTGAATTCAGTTGCTCTTCTGGCTCCTGGAAATCATTTCTAGTGACAGTTATGTTGATCTAGAGCAAGCCAAGAAAATACATGAAATAATATAGAAACAAGCGAAGAAAAAGCACATTTCTTACTAGGAAGTTTTGCATCTAATACATTTATATAAGGTTAGATAGGACTTACCATAGCACTAATCAAGAGAAACACAATGAGATCCATATAGGTCATCACAAGTTTTCTGGAAACCACATTCATAAATTCAAAGAATAGGCAAAATTGGTGTAATAATGTGTTTTATCTTCCTCTGCTCAGAACAGTGCTTTAAAATCTAGTCAACATAAAATTTGTTGTGAGTTTCCTTGTGTACAGACTCTTGTAGATGTGAGGCTTGCTTTATACTTGGAGCAGGTGTGAACTTGGATGGGGACATTCTTTTGCTCATGTCCCTAATGGCTGCCGTTTTGGAAAGCATAGTTATAGAACAGGAGCTTTCTTGTACTCTGGATACTAAAAGAGACGATCACCATGTGACTGTCTGTAGAAGTGAAGGTGCTGTCTTCCTTTGGTTGGGAAGGGCTCAACGCTGGGACTACTTCTCTGGAGTAGCTCAGATAAGGCTGTTCTGTTCAGGGCATGGTGAAGGGAAGGCTGGGGAGTGTGTGACGCCCCCCATTCCGTGAGCATGTGCCGACTGCCCAAACAGTTCCATTTGTTGTTTCTGAAAAGTACAACTTGAAGAACTTTATTTTGCAAAGATACAAGGCATAGCTTTTGTAAATAAGTTAAGTTTTTGTTTCATTTTTCTGTAGAAAAGTTGGGAAAACCTCATTCTTTTAGTTCTTCTAATGTTCTTAACCATTGGATGTATATATCTTATAATCTTTATTGTAAGGACAGTAAGAGAATATATATATTTTGTTATTTGTTTCTATTTTTTTAATCGAGAGAAGTACCATTTCAAGTCAGAATAAAGGACATTAAATCTGAAGTGTGTTTGAACTGCATTATTGTTTGGATATTTGGATTACCCAAAATGAGTTTAGATTTTAATAACAAAAGCTTTCTCTGAAATGAAACTGGTTTAGCACTTTTTGGTCAAATGAATTAGGCTCTAAACTTTTATCTGAATCTGTAGAGCTTGGATATAAATTGAAAAGATCACAGCTATGGGGAGAAGACTTATACCACAAAGGCCTTTCTGCATAGATTATGAATACCATAACTCAATAATTTTTCAAAACTATAGTTATAATTGGACCCAATGGGGGTCTGTTTCTTTGATGAGATCACAGTAACTGTGACTTTACACTGGAAAATGTCACTACTGTGAAGGTTTATCACCTGTAGAGCTGGTCTTTCCTCTGATGCTGTGTTCATTTCTCATTAGCATTATTCAAAGTTTAGTTGTTAATTAGGTTCACACTTCAATTACAATCATCATCTACAAGAGTAGTCAGGATTGCTTGAACAAAGAAATAAAAATATTCCCCTTTGCACATATTTAAAGGATAATTGGTATTATTTTATTATCTGGTAGTTTATACAGATAATATTGTGTTCAGGGAGCAATCTAGTTAAAACCTGTCTCTAAATTAGTTTTTATTTCCTTAAGAAAATAGAATGCAACCTCACATTTTTCTATTTAAAATGTATCGATAAGGAATGTATATGAAATTTGTTTTAAAGTGTACAGACTATGGTTTTTCTATTTTGATTGGAAGTAGTAAGTGAAGTGAATAAAAAGATAGCATCCTGAGTATGAGCTCACTTCCATCTGTGAGTCCACTAGCCTCTTACACTCCATTTCTAAAATGCATAGCATCCGAAATTGGACTAGGTGTGAAATATTGTAGCAGTTGAACAGCTTTTCAAATTTTTCATGTTATCGTATAAAAATTCTGTGTTTGCAGAACATGAGTATTTTGTTCTGCTTGCTGGTTGGTGTGGTAGTGATCCGGAGCTCCAATCTAGCACATGGCAGTGGGACATCCTGGACGCTGCATTTGTATCACAGCTTTGCCTCTGAGTAGCCACACAATGAAAGCAAACTGGTTCCTATCTTTTGTCCCAAGTTTCTTCATTTATAAGCAATAAACTGAATGTTTTTCCTAAAATGTGGTGAAATTGAAATGAGACAATAAATAACATTTATTTTACATAAGTTCCCATTCGTGGCCGGTGTGACTTTATCTCTTCTCTATTTCCTTCTGATAATGATAAAAAGAGAAAATTACTTATGCAAATGATGCTTCCAAACAGAAAGTAAAATTGTAAATGATCTTGAAGGACTCCTAACAAATAACAATACCCAACAGAAACGAAGGCAACTGAACCAGCTTTATCTCTAAACAAGTAGACACACGTTATAATTGCTAAAAATCTGCAGGAAAGTGCCGCACAAGCAGTTTACTGTAAATAATTAAAGCTTATTTATGTCAAGAGGCCTTGGGAAAAAAGAGAGCATAAACCAATTTGCATTAGCACATTACTATCCTCTCCAGCTCTCGTTTCAATTAGCAGAGCAGCAGGTGCTTGGTGCAGCTAAAAGATAAGCTCTCAGGGAGGAGGATGAATTTTGGCTGACCTGCAGACATTGCGCTTTGCCTGCTGATTGGGTTCGTACCTTGCTGTACCAATTTCTGAGGTGTTAATTTAACTGTTCCTCTCTGCCATGCAGGTCTCGGCCTTGAAAAATAAGCTGAAGAAGCAGTCCACGGCTACAGGAGATGGAGTGGCTCGGGCCTTTTTGAGGGCACAGGCGGCTTTGTTCGGATCCTATAGGGATGCTCTGAGATACAAGCCTGTAAGCATTTGTTTCATCTCTGTTGTAACTGATTTTCCATGGCCCCTTTGAATGAAGCAGGGAAAAGGAAGCATCTTCATATTAGAAGCGAAGGAAGTATCATTGTTGCTGTTTAATCTCAGTAAAAATGCGCTCCAGTGCATGCTCTGCTCCGTCCGTCAGCTGCTGTCTCAGCCTTTTCATTTCTCTTAGCTGATATTCCCCAGGATCTTTGGCCTGTCGCCCATTGAAAGTTCTAGAAGTGGATTATTTATTTTTGAGTGAATTGATAAATTATATTCAAGCACTCACAATCACTTAATGATCTTATAATCACCAAGAAACTCATGGGGTAGGAGAACTTAATAGCTTAGTTATGGCAGGTGGAAAGTGGAAGGTAAGAAAATGAGCACTTTAAAACTTGGCCGTATTTGAATATTTTTTCTTCCTGGTTTATAACAGTTTCTGAAATGTGCTTGCCTATTTAGCATCTTGCCATTTATTTTAATTCTTTAAAAAGATTATCGAATTATGTTTAAGAATTTAGCTGATCCAAAATGGCACGAGTCAAGTGCATTTGTTTCTCTCTGCAATAGTTATTAAAAGCTGTTTAGGCAGGTTTTACAGACAATTTCTGTGAGACCATTCCATGACCAAATGACTAAGCTTATTATGTATTTTTCCGTTTGTGTTTTGTGTGTGTCTAGGCCTGCATGTGCCACAGTACGTATGTAGGGGTCAGAGGGACCTTCAGGGTGTCGCCTCTTTCCTTCCACTGTGTGAGTCCTGAAGAATTGGCTTCAGGTCCTTGGGTTTGGTGGCAAGCTCATATCTCTGACCCAGATATATACATTTTAAGGGTGAAACACATTGGGTTAAAAAGTAGTTACACAGAGGCCTGCCATTGATAGAATTCCATTGCTAGGCTACCTTTACCCCTTATTCTGTAGAATATTTGCAAAGTGAGAATTTTTTTATGCCATCCTGGCCTGTCTTCCAAAATTGACTTATGATCCTCTTGAACATTATGTATAGCAAATACAGATATGCAATATTCTTTCTAACCAGTCTTAGTGGTTCCCACCATCTAGCTCTCATGGATTTCAAGGGTCTTTGAGCTACAAAAGAAGTTTTAAATGGATAATTTACCTCCTATTTCTAGATAAATACATATATCTAGTACTTGTACTTCATTTACCCGCTTTGTTTCACCTAAATGAAATACCTGAGCAAAATCAATTATGAAAATAAAATAAAATAAAATAGCCATGTGGTGGTAGTGGCGCATGTCTTTAATCCCAGCACACAGAAGGCAGAGGCAGGCAGATCTGTGTGAGTTTGAGGCCTGTCTTGTCTACAGAGTGAGTGCCAGGACAGGCTGCAAAGGTACAGAGAAACCCTGTTGTGAAACCCACTCCCATCCCCCACACCCACCCCCCAAAAAAGAAAAGGTTATGGGAAGATGGAGGGTGGTCCTATTGCTTTTAGGAACCTGGTATGGCAGTGCCAGATGACAGGGACCCAGGTGAGGAGTAAAGCCACACACATATTGATAGGACATGAAGACGAGAAAAGGATGAAGGGGATGGATCTCTATGTCCAGATGAACAGAAACCTTCTACTAAGCTTCCATGTCTTTTTAGAATCTTCCATTTTCTTGATGGACTGAAGTCCTTACTTAGCACAAATAGACCTTAGGGAGACAATTCTTCCAACTATGGCACATGCTAGTCTTTGTGAAATATTTGAAGGTGTTATAGAATTTCAAATATTCTTTGAAAGAATGGAGACAATCACCCAAATACAGTTAAGTGCATTATCATTCAGATTACTCAACTCAACTAAAGAAGGTGAGCCTGAAAAAAAAATCATTTTTTTAGAGATTTAATTTATTGAAAGCAATATTTTAAAACAATAAGGAAATAAAGAAGGAAACTTGAGCATACCACTTTGCTTGTTTTTCTTTTTCTTTTTTCTTTTTTTGCTTCATTTAAGCACTCACTTTTCTAAATTGAATTTTCACTTTTTAAATTTGTGAAGAAATGAATAAATTAAAATAAAATGATTCAGGTTCTCAATATGCTGGATGCTGGATAAGATAATGTGCCCTAACACTAGCAAGAATTGCCTCTGATTGTAGAGCTTAATATTTACCTATTAGAGTTTCATTGGGCACATAGGAGAAAAGGTTTCTGTGACTCAGAATTCAATGATCTCAAAGCCGTATTTCCCAGTGCCTGTTAAAATATATTAGTTTATCATATAGTATCTTTACTGTTCATCAGTCACATCTTGTGAATTGTTTTTGTTTGTGTTTTTTTATATAAATTTTCCCTTGATATTTACTTCTTCCTTTGCTTTTACTTTAATATATTCTGGGACCTGGGAAACAGTATTTTTATTTTGCATGCCTTTTTGGTTCTCTGACAGTAATTGGTTAAAACTTAATTTTTAAAGAGCTTCACATTTAGATAAATTTCCTTTGTTTTCTCTTCATGAGGAGTAACTTTTACTATTTTAAGGAATCATATTTGTTAAGGAAAACAATTTCATTTTCTTATAAATAAAATACATTATTAGCTATTGTCTTTGTTACTTTCTATTGCTGTAACAAAACACTGAGACAAAGGCTATAAAGGAATTTATTTAATTTGGCTTATGGTGTCAGAAGTTTAGAACCAATGATGGAAGAACAAAGGAACAACTGAGCGTCCCCATAGTGATCCACAGCCCTGATCCCAAGAGCAGTCAGTGGAGATCAGATGAGTCTTACAAAGTCTCAAAGCCCTACTCTAGTGACATACCTCCTCCAACAAGGCCATACCTTTTTATCCTTCCCAAACACCTCCATCAACTTGGGATCAGATATTCAAATATGTGAGCCTTTGGGACCATTCTCATTCAAACCATCACATTCTTCTCCCTGGCCCTTATAATTTTGTTACCATATCATAATACAAAATGCATTTTGTCCAACTTCAAAAATACCCATAGTTTTTCACAAACTCAACACAGTTTAAAAGCTCAGTGTCTCTTCTGTGACTCAAGACACTCTCTTAACTTTAACCCACCATAAAACAAAAAGTTATATTACATACTTCCAACATACAGTGGCACAGAATATAGGAATTTGGACACAGTGAGGAAATACTAAACCATCATAAGACTGAAACCCAGCAATACAAACTCCAAATCCTGTAGTTCCATGCCTGATGTCAAAGGACTCAGGTGGCTCCAATCTTCCAGCTTTGCTACTTACCAGCAACATACATCCATCTCTTCCATTTCATGTATGCAGCTCTTCTTGACAGATACCCCATGGGGCTGGCACCTGTAATATCTTGGGGTCTTCAATGCAAACTAGAAATCTCATAGCGTCATGCAGTGACCTCTCAGGGCTTCCGTTCAGAGAGACCTCTGCCGTATGACTAGGCTCATATGGCTCTCCTAAACCGTGGAGGAACGTCCCGTAAACCCTTTATTTATGTATCTTTCATGGTTCTGTAGGCAGATCCATGTGGTGGACACTCCCAAGTATGGCTACTAACTTTGGTGAATCCTGGCATCCTTGAGCCACATTCCTAGCAGCTTTGATTTTTTTATTTCTGTTTTTCTTTTTAGGAGCAGAAAATTCCTTTGGCCTTTTTCACAAGTTGGAAACTTAGCTGGGTGGGTGTGGTCTTGCCTGAGTTTACCACTCCCTTTATTCCATTTCAGATTAGGTCTCTCTTTAGTCTTTCAATCTTTTCAGCACTTTGGCTCCAACATTAATTTTTTAGTTTTCTTTTGCCTTTTAAGCTGTATATTTTCTATTTCTTTTTGTAGACCTGCATAAGTGTGATTAGTAATAACTGTCAGTCACTAAGGAAGGCTTTGAGATTAAGACTCATGCAATTTCCCATGTGTGTTCATTCTCTCTGTCTCTGTCTCTGTCTTCCTTTCTTTCCTCTTCCTCTCCCTGCCTTATGTTATGGATCAAGATGAGTTAATTTTAGGTTGTCTTGAAATCGCCTCTACCAATGAAATTAGTTCATTATTTTTTAATTTAGTCATGGGTAAATTCTTAGGACAAGGGCAGAAAGCAACCACCTTCTTTGCCAAAATATCATATTCTCTAGCCAATTGCTGATATTGTTCCTCTCCAAAACCTCTTGAGCTGAGCCTCTGTAGTTCACATCAGTATTTCTGTCTTCCCAGCTCCTACTAGGATGACCTGTTGAGCCATTCTTGTGGTATTCAACTACTTCCCTATGCAAGTCCCATAGCCTTCCATATTACTCCAAAACCAGCATTATCTGGTCCATTAATAACAATAGTGCACTCCCTGGTACCAACTTCTGTCTTGGTTACTTCTCTATTGAGGTCACAAAAACACTATGAGAAGGGAACTTATAAAAGAAATCATTTAATTTTGTTTATAGTTTCATTGGGTTAGAGTTCATAATGGTGGAGCAAAAGAAAACTTGAGAGCTCCATCTTGACCCACAGCCACAAGGCAGAGAGAGAGGTGGGAGGGGGAGAGAGAGGGGATGGGGAGGGAGAGAGAGAGAGAGAGAGAGAGCGCACATATACAGGGAATTATATAATTCTTTTGAAACCTCTCAACCCTCCTCATGTGACACACCTCCCCTAACAAGACCGTACATTCCAATCCTTCCCAAGCAGTTCCACCAACTGGGGAACAAGTATTCACATATGAGCCTCTGGGACCATTCACATTCAAACCACTGCAGATATTATCTTTATATATTACCCAGTAAATAATTCATTAGAAGTGTTCACTTGCTTGTTTTTATGTTAGGCCTTATTTGGTCATTTATATAATTGACCGTTCTCTTTGAAAAATTTTGTTAGATATAAAATAAAGAAAGACCAAGTATGGAAGTTGTAATTACTTCACGATCTTATCTGTTTTCATAAATATATTTGGTGTCCTCTGTCTAATAGAGCATAGTTGGAAAGGATGAACACTCTGACAAACTTTGAATAATTACGACTTTTTTGATTAGACATTACTTTTT